AGAAAATATTCTTTTAAAAAAGTAAAGACTAAGCTAAGCAACAAGGTGGTGTACATTTATAATCTTAACACTTGGTAGGCTAGGACAGGAGAATTATGAGTTCAAGGTCAGCCTGAGCTATATAGAAAGATGTGCTGCTTTAAGAAACCTCCTTCTGCTCCCCCTGCCCCCTGGAAAAAGAAAAGACATGTACAACTTTTCCTACATGCATTTAATTTATAGACAAATAATTATAATTAAAACTACTCTGCATCACAGCTGGGAAGGTAGTTCAATTGATAAAATGCTTTCCTTGTAAGCAATGACAGCTCAAGTTAGAGCCCCAGAACCCACATACAAAAAGCAAGGCATGATGGTGCATGCTTGTAATCCCAGTGCAGGAAGGGTGGAGGCAGGTAGATCCCTGATGATCACGAGCCACCAAGTCTAGCATGGCCAGCAAGTTCCAAACAAGTGAAAGATCACACCTCAAAAAAAAAAAAAAAAAAAAAAAGGAAACAAAAAAAAAAGGGAAAAAAAAAAAAAAAAAAAAAAAAGGGGGGGGGGGCAAGATGGTTTAGGGGGAAGGATGCTGGTCACTGGGCCTGACACGCACACATACACACATACACATGCACACACATGTATACACACAAACAAAAAACCAATATAAAATTATTTTATGGAAATCCTATAACTGGAAAAAATATGACAATGAATGTGGTGGTTTAAGACTCAATAGTTTGAACCTATTTCCATCAGCCTGACACATTCTTCAAACCATACATGTGGAAGGAGAAGCCTTGTGGGTGAAGTTTCCAGAAGCAGGCAGACTTGAATCCCTAAAGCTTAGGGTATTAATTGGTTCAATGTACTGAAAACTATCCTGGCAATACGTTTTGATATTTTCCACTCATGAGACCCAGACAAACTAATTTTATACACAGTCTGGACAAAGCACCACCGTCCAGTTCTATGATTCTTATTACAAGCGCAGGAAGCTTGTGGGAACTCAAAACACAAGAGACGAATAGAGAAATGAATTAATTATTTAGGAGCTTCTGCATTTGCGATTGTCATAATTACAGCAGATGCTTTCCAGCAAAGGCATGTCAGTGTGCTGTGGAGACTTCACTGGCTGCTCCCTGGCTCTTCCATGACTCTGTCTTCCAAAGCCAATTTAGGGTAAGTAAAAGTGGTCTAATCTGAGCAGAAATCCACCTTCTGTTGAGACTTCAGTACCATCCTTTTTCATCCAGTGTGGGACATGGCAAAATTAACAATTAATCCCAAGAACTGATAAAGGACTAGACTTACCTAAGAGCAAGAGGAAAAACTGGCCTCACAGGTCCTGGATTAATATAATGAATGGGTGAGTCCAAAAGAGATGCAGCATTGCAAAGTAAATTCCCTATAACCTAGCATTAAGGCATTTGATTCATTTCTAAATAGAAGCAAAACTTGGGCAGGTATGCAAACATATGTAAATCATATAGCTGGGTAACACCTGTGCCACTATTATGTATTTCTGTACAGCTCTTGGCCAAAAAAAAAAAGCCTCATATAAACTATTGTTTCAATGATCAATGGGAACATATGAACTCCAGAGTTCTAAATTAATTTGTTTTTTCAACACCTCAGATAATTATATTCCAGTCTTTGGGACTGAACCCAGAACTTTGCACATACTGGGCAAATGCTCTCCAGTTGAGCAACACCCTTAGTCCTTGTATCTTAAGATGGGCCTTGCTAAATTCCCCAGCTAACCTCAAATTTGCAACTCTCCTGCCTCAGCCTTCCATGCGCTGGGATTACAGGTAAGTACCACTACACCTGGATATGCTGGTTTAATGCTTTGAAAAACTACCTTATTGAGATGATTCATGTAACATACAATTCACCTAATTCAAGTATACAGTTCAATGCTTTTTAGTAGTACAGCATCCATAACTATAAACCACTGTCATAATCAATTTTAAGCCATTTGTGTCATCCCCACAAAACATTCTGTATCCTTTTGAAGTCCCTTCCCATTTCTCCCCAAATCCATTCCAGCCCTCAGCAACAACTGATCTACTTTCCATCTCTATAGATTTGCAGTATGTTATGTAAATGCGGTAAATGTAATCATACAATATGTGTTCTTCTCTTGGTTAATATAATCTTTTCAATGTTCAAATATGGTGAAGCATTTACCTGCTATGTGTTTGATTGCTGAATAACAGTCTACTGTTTCTAGTTCATGCCATGCTTTACCTACCCATTCATCTCTCAGTAGCTACTAGAGTTGTTTCTGATTTGATTTTTTGCCTCTTATGAATAATACTATTATGAGCATTTGCATACCAGTTCCTGCGTAGAAAAACTTTTAACTCTCCTGAATATATGTCTGAGTGGAACTGTTGTATTATTTGGTAACTTTAGCTACAACTTTCTGAGGAATTACCAGCCTGTTTTTGGCTGCATCATTTTATATTCTCATAGCAACATATGATAGTTCCAATTCCTCCTCCTCCTCCTTCCTTCCTTCTTTCCCCTCCTCTTTCTGCTTCTTTTGGTGCTAAGAATCATGCCCAGGGCATTGTACAAGCTAGGCAAGTCTTTTACCACTGAACTATGCTCCCAGCCCCAACTACTCTACATCTCCCCCAAATTTTTATTGAGCATGGGCTGATCTGATCTGTTAATTTGGGTCATTTTGTTTATAACTATTGCAGCTGGTGTGAAGTGATGTTTCATTGTGATTCTGATTTTCATCTCCCTAACAACTAATAAGATTGGTACATCTTTTTGGTGAAATGTCCATTCATATCCTTTGCCCATTTTAAAATGGGCTATTTGTCTTTTGTTATTGAGTTTTGTGTTCTCTCTCTCTCTCTCTCTCTCTCTCTCTCTCTCTCTCTCGTGTGTGTGTGTATTTATATGTTTGTGTGTGGTAGATGTCAGGAGAAATACTGACTTCTCAGTGGGACATGCCTGAAATAAATCTTGTGTAACAAAGCTGAGGTGATGTGAATGGCCTGCTTCTTCTTCAGATAGAATAGAGGTCTGGGCTGAGTTCTAGCTTGAGAGGGACCTCTATGTATGTTACCCATCCAGCCAGGGCGGAGCACCATCATTCCCAGCTGGAGGATGATGGAGAGATGGATTGTGGCTCAAATGCCATGAGGTCTTTGTGTTCTTGCTGCAGTGCTATGGAGTGTTTTGTGTAGCATTTCTTCATTTGCTGTATTCCCTTGTGATAGGAGCCAGAGATAATTTTTCACCAGTTACTGTTCTGTAAGGCATGCGTTCACAGAGATTTCACACCACGATTCTAGAAGCTGAGACCTATTTGGCTGGTTTGTGTGCGTGTGTGTGTGTGTGTGTGTGTGTGTGTGTGTGTGTGTGTGTGTGAGGCTGTGTGTGTGTTATATGAATGTGTGTTCATATGGGTATGTGGGTGCACACACTGGTGTATGTGTGTGTGTAAGCCAGATAACACCAAGTGTCTTCCTTCATGGCTCTCCACTTTTTGAGACAGAGTCTCTCACTGAACCAGGAATTTGCTCATTTGGCTAGACTGTCTGGCAGGGCAAGACTTCAGGGTCCTTGTGTCTCTACCTCCCAGCTCTGGAATTACAGCCATGTGCTGCTATGGCCTTTGATGTGGGTGTTTGGGATCCAAACTCAGATCCTCAGATCTGCTTCACCCACTGACACATCTCCCCAACCCAATTTGGAAAATTTTTAATGAAGACTCTGTTACTTGTATAAGTGGTTGTAAGAATTTATATTGACTTTGTAGAGATAAAATTGATTATAGAATTATAAGAGCAATTTTCCCCCCATCAGAGCTGAGGACAGAACCCAGGTCCTTGTGCTTGCTAGGCAAGTGCTCTACCACTGAGCTAAATCCCCAACCCAATTTTTTAAAATTGTAAATTTATAAACACTAGATTTCTAAAAAACAATGGAAGGTAAAGACTGGATGACTTTCTACATTATACACAGTAAAATTCTAAATGTCCATGCAGTTGCCATAAGCAATTATTTTTAATTTATTGCAATTAAATAGTTGTATAGACTTTTTTGGAAAATGAGATTGTGCATTTCCTACAAAAGTTTGCTGTTGGTCTAGAAATTCATGTGCAAAGTCATCATACCTATTGAAAGTCATCAAGATGCTGGCTGTGTAAGAACCACAGGAATAATTCAGAGGTGGAAATGATTGAGTGATTAAGCTTTCAGTAGTTTTCTACATGAGTTTTTAAAGTTCTCCAGCAAAAATGGCTGTGTATCTCTTAAAATTAAAAAACTCAAAATAACTACTGCCCTGAAGTCTTTTAGAAAAACAAACATCCCAGTTTCCTTGATGCATTTATTTGAACTTTGGGGGCTAAAGTTTAGATTAAACAATTCCTCAAATTCTTTATTTGAGCATGGACTGAACTGGTCTGTAAGTTGATAACCAGTTGAAAGAGGTTCTAATTGAAACAAATCTAGAATGACACATCTAAAAACTTCTTCATCCCATCTGCCTCCCTCCCCAACCCTATGGCAAAGTTAAACATATTTCTCCTTGGGTGTTGAAGTTTTTGATTGCTTATGATGGGCTAAATAAACAGGAGAACATGATAAAACACATTCCTTGCTGGAAATTCATGACCTGCTGACAGTTGACTTGCATGTGCAAATCAGATGAATATTACTACTTAAAGGGAATTATGTGCATCCCAAAGACATTCCCTTCAATAGTTATTAACTACACAAAGATAAATAATTAAAATAATGTCAAATAATTTTCTTTTGACTAGGAAGGTGCCAGTATTAAAGTATGGCTTCTGTTGAGTGAAAAATCTTAGTTTCTAAAGTAGCAAAAGACAAAGAGGGGGAAAAAAACACCCCGCATTCCATTCTTGTAGTTGTAATGCAGTTAAATAATAAACTGATAAATTGCATTAAAGCTCAGTGTTAGTTTCAGGGTGGAATCCTTTTGTGAAAACTATAGATTGGAAGTAGGTATTTTGGAAGATACTTACCTCCCGGCTTCAGGTGAGCTCGGATGAGCTGGCTCCTCCGCAGAGGCGGCGAGCTTCCCAGTGCGCCGGGCGCCGAGGAGGCTCTGGGAGTTAGGTGTTCGGGCCCCGCCCTCTGCACTATTGCTAAAACTCCAATTCTGCCAAACTCATTCCGGTGATTAATAATTGACAAAAAGAAAACACTGTTACGCAAACTTGTGTCCAACCGCAGGGCTCGCAGCGACTCCTTCCCGAAGAGAATGCAGGCTGCACCGCTCCCCTCCCCCCTCGCTTTAAGGTCCCAACTTCCCATGCGCTGCCATTGGGTCCTGGGAGATTGGGCTGTCCGCCGAGGAACGCAGCCCAGAGACTTCTACATTTTAAAAATTCGCCTTTCGGTAGCTCTTCAGCACTTCTCCCGAGGCTAGCATCTCCGGAGGCGGGGAGCTTTCCCAATGCTAGGGAGAGCTGGGGCTCCGACGGCGACAGAGGAGACTGTGGCTGCGCTGTCACCTCCGGCTGCTGCAGTAAAACCCCGAGCGGAGGCTGGGATGGGGAGGAGGGATCGGAGGCGCCCTCCCCCGTCGCTCCAGTCGGGAGCACCGACCCTAGCAAAGGAGCACGTCTTTAGTTGATGTTAGTGATGGATGGAGGAGGACGAAGAGGAGAAGGGGGAGGAGGAGGGGGAGGAGGAGGAGGAGG